TTTTTTTATATATATATATATATATATATATATATATATATATATATATATATATATATAATGTCACTGGAGATCTAATAATGTTGTCATCAGCTGTTAGTGTGCACCACATGCACTTGCAGGTTTAGTGCACTAGCACGTCTGCATGGATTTATTTGTCTCTGCAGTGTTGTGGTTGACTTTAAGAAATTAATTAAGTAAAGTAACAGCTGTTTACGATGGCTAAGTAGCTTCACAGATGCATCTACATATATTGGCTGTTTTACAGAGGCGTTGAGGGCGGCTCATTCAAACACATCCACCCTTGTGAAAATGAAGTGTGCTAAAGTGTGTCACCCCCCAAAAAATCATTTATTCACCCTTCACTTGTTCCAAACCTGTTTTAGTTTTTTCTTTCGTTGAACACACAATGAAAATATATTAAACAATGCTGGACACTTCTTATCATTGACATCTAAATTATGGGTTTCCTCCGGGTGCTCCGGTTTCCCCCACAGTCCAAACACATGCGGTACAGGTGAATTGATGAACTAAATTGACCATAGTGTCAAGAGTGTGTGCGTGTGTATGAGTGTGTATGGGTGTTTCCTACTGGGTTGTGGCTGGCAGGGCATCCACTGTGTAAAACATGTGCTGGAGTAGTTGGTGGTTCATTTCGCTGTGGCGACATCTGATAAATTGGATAAATTAAGCCAAAGGAAAATTAATAAATGAATGAGATATATGGCCATATGTGAACATACCGCATATACTATATAACTAACAACTAATATTCTTCAACACATTTACAAACATAATAGTTTTAGTAATTAATTTACATTGTCTTTGCCATGATCATGGTACATAAAACTTCAAGCAAGATACTGGCATTTAGCTTAAAGTGACATTTAAAAGCCTAATTAGGTTTACTAGCCAAGTTAGGTTAGGCAAGTCTTTTGGACAACAGTAATAAATAAAAAATAAAATAAAATAAAATAAAATAAAACAATCAAACTAAATAATTGAAATGAAAGGAAATGAAACAAAATAAAATAAAATGAAATAAAAAATAAATAAAATAAAATAAAAATAAATAAGTAATACAATAAAATGACACGACATGAAATAAAATAAAATAAAATAAAACAAATGACATGACATGACATGAAACAAAATGAAATGAAACAAAACAGAATAAATGAAATGAAATGAAACAAAACTAAACTAAATGAGATAAAATAAAATTTAATAAAATTAAATAAAATAAAAAAATGAAAACATTTAAAATAAACAAAATGAAATGAATTAAAATAAAATTAAATGAAACAAAACAAAACAAAATGAAATAAAATTTAATTTAATTAAATAAAATTAAATATAATATAAAAATAATATAATAAGTTGCAGTAAAATGAAATTAAAAAATAAAATAAATAAATAAATAAATAAATAAATAAATAAATAAATAAATAATTCAATAAAATGATGTGACATGACATGAAATAAAATAAAATAAAATAAAACAAAATAAAATAAAATAAAATAAAATAAAATAAAATAAAATAAAATGACATGACATGACATGACATGACATGACATGACATGACATGACATGACATAAAACAAAATAAATGAAATGAAATTAAACAAAATGAAACTTAACAAAATGAGATAAAAGAAAATGAAATAAAATAAAAAAAAAATAAAAAAATTATTTTTTTAAATAAATAAAATTAAACAAAACAAAATAAATGAAATTAAATTAAACGAAATTAAATAAAAGAAAATAAAAGAAAATAATTAAATAATTAAAAATAAATAAATAAATAAATGATCAAATGAAATAAAAAAATAAATTAAAAAATAAAATAAAATAAAATAAAATGAAACAACAAAATAAAATAAAACAAAACAAAATGAAATAAAATAAATTGTAATTCAATAAAATGAAATATAATAACAAAGATTATTATATTATTATAGATTCCCTCTGGGTCAGTTCTGTGTCTATTTCATTTATAAAAGTATACAAGACACAACTTGTTGTTTTCAACTTTGTTTTCTGAGGGAGGAAAGACGTCTGGTCTTTTTTACTTGACTATTATCTCTGCAATCGTTCTCCATCAGCACGCCATGACCCATTCCTGACAGCCCAGCAATAACCCAGCAGGTTTAACTTGCATCGTCTCAGCACAACTTCATCACTCATGACATCTCACAGTGTAGTGAGACGACACACGATCACATGTCTCTTATCTCAGAGCGGATCTCCACCACTAGCAGAGCTTCAAAGTGACAGATCATGTGTCTGTGTGTGTGTATGTGTGGAGTTTGCATGTTCTCCCCGTGTTCCTCCCACAGTTCAAGCACATGCGCTGTAGATGAATTGGGTAAACTAACTTGGCCGTAGTATGTGAGTGTGTGTGAATGTGAGTACTGCAGTGCTGCTGGAAGGGCATCCGCTGCGTAAAACAAATGCTGGAATAGTTGGCGGTTCATTCCGCTGTGGTGACCACTAATAAATAACGAACTAAGAAAAGTGAATGAATGAATGTTTCTCAGATTTTTTGTCATGTTTCCACAGGGATGTGGAGTACGGTGGGATTTACACCTATCAGGTCCAGACCGTCTCCAGTCGCAGTGAAAGTGAGCCGTCGCCTCCGTTCACACACCGCATCGGAGCGCCGTACTGCGGAGATGGCTTTATCCAGAGGTGGGTTTGGATGTGTTTCTGCAGCCTCCAACAAAACATTTTAAGATGGTTAGGAAACACTGTTTCCATTCAAAATGAAAATATCACTACAAGAGTTGACACTTAGCTGATGATTGATTATAAAGCTTGTTTGGCCCTGCTCCGGGAGAGAGCCCTGAGCAGGGCCGGCGCTTCCATAGAGGCAACCTAGGCGGCGGCCTAGGGCAGCAGAATAGAGAGGGCGGCATCCACGAAACTACCCTCGCCACCCGCACCCTCATCCGCGTCTAGGGTGGCAGAATAGAGAGAGCGGCGTCCCCAAAACTATCCCCGCCACCCGCGCCCACAATTACATCCGCGTCTAGGGTGGCAGAATATAGAGTGGCGTCCCCGAAACTACCCTCACCACCCGCGCCCACAATTACATCCGCGTCTAGGGTGGCAGAATAGAGAGAGCAGCGTCCCCGAAACTACCCTCGCCACCCGCGCCCACAATTACATCCGCGTCTAGGGTGGCAGAATAGAGAGAGCGGCGTCCCCGAAACTACCCTCGCCACCCGCGCCCACAATTACATCCGCGTCTAGGGTGGCAGAATAGAGAGAGCGGCGTCCCCGAAACTACCCTCGCCACCCGCGCCCACAATTACATCCGCGTCTAGGGTGGCAGAATAGAGAGAGCGGCGTCCCCGAAACTACCCTCGCCACCCGCGCCCGCAATTACATCCGCGTCTAGGGTGGCAGAATAGAGAGAGCGGCGTCCCCGAAACTACCCTCGCCACCCGCGCCCACAATTACATCCGCGTCTAGGGTGGCAGAATAGAGAGAGCGGCGTCCCCGAAACTACCCTCGCCACCCGCGCCCGCAATTACATCCGCGTCTAGGGTGGCAGAATAGAGAGAGCGGTGTCCCCGAAACTACCCTCGCCACCCGCGCCCACAATTACATCCGCGTCTAGGGTGGCAGAATAGAGAGAGCGGCGTCCCCAAAACTATCCTCGCCACCCGCGCCCACAATTACATCCGGGTCTAGGGTGGCAGAATATAGAGTGGCGTCCCCGAAACTACCCTCACCACCCGCGCCCACAATTACATCCGCGTCTAGGGTGGCAGAATAGAGAGAGCAGCGTCCCCGAAACTACCCTCACCACCCGCGCCCACAATTACATCCGCGTCTAGGGTGGCAGAATAGAGAGAGCAGCGTCCCCGAAACTACCCTCGCCACCCGCGCCCGCAATTACATCCGCGTCTAGGGTGGCAGAATAGAGAGAGCGGCGTCCCCGAAACTACCCTCGCCACCCGCGCCCACAATTACATCCGCGTCTAGGGTGGCAGAATAGAGAGAGCGGCGTCCCCGAAACTACCCTCGCCACTCGCGCCCACAATTACATCCGCGTCTAGGGTGGCAGAATAGAGAGAGCGGCGTCCCCGAAACTACCCTCGCCACCCGCGCCCACAATTACATCCGCGTCTAGGGTGGCAGAATAGAGAGAGTGGCGTCCCCGAAACTACCCTCGCCACCCGCGCCCACAATTACATCCGCGTCTAGGGTGGCAGAATAGAGAGAGCGGCGTCCCCGAAACTACCCTCGCCACCCGCGCCCGCAATTACATCCGCGTCTAGGGTGGCAGAATAGAGAGAGCGGCGTCCCCGAAACTACCCTCGCCACCCGCGCCCACAATTACATCCGCGTCTAGGGTGGCAGAATAGAGAGAGCGGCGTCCCCAAAACTATCCTCGCCACCCGCGCCCACAATTACATCCGGGTCTAGGGTGGCAGAATATAGAGTGGCGTCCCCGAAACTACCCTCACCACCCGCGCCCACAATTACATCCGCGTCTAGGGTGGCAGAATAGAGAGAGCAGCGTCCCCGAAACTACCCTCACCACCCGCGCCCACAATTACATCCGCGTCTAGGGTGGCAGAATAGAGAGAGCAGCGTCCCCGAAACTACCCTCACCACCCGCGCCCACAATTACATCCGCGTCTAGGGTGGCAGAATAGAGAGAGCAGCGTCCCCGAAACTACCCTCGCCACCCGCGCCCGCAATTACATCCGCGTCTAGGGTGGCAGAATAGAGAGAGCGGCGTCCCCGAAACTACCCTCGCCACCCGCGCCCACAATTACATCCGCGTCTAGGGTGGCAGAATAGAGAGAGCAGCGTCCCCGAAACTACCCTCACCACCCTCGCCCACAATTACATCTGTGTCTAGGGTGGCAGAATAGAGAGAGCAGCGTCCCCGAAACTACCCTCGCCACCCGCGCCCACAATTACATCCGCGTCTAGGGTGGCAGAATAGAGAGAGCGGCGTCCCCGAAACTACCCTCGCCACCCGCGCCCACAATTACATCCGCGTCTAGGGTGGCAGAATAGAGAGAGCGGCGTCCCCGAAACTACCCTCGCCACTCGCGCCCACAATTACATCCGCGTCTAGGGTGGCAGAATAGAGAGAGCGGCGTCCCCGAAACTACCCTCGCCACCCGCGCCCACAATTACATCCGCGTCTAGGGTGGCAGAATAGAGAGAGCGGCGTCCCCGAAACTACCCTCGCCACCCGCGCCCGCAATTACATCCGCGTCTAGGGTGGCAGAATAGAGAGAGCGGCGTCCCCGAAACTACCCTCGCCACCCGCGCCCACAATTACATCCGCGTCTAGGGTGGCAGAATAGAGAGAGCGGCGTCCCCAAAACTATCCTCGCCACCCGCGCCCACAATTACATCCGGGTCTAGGGTGGCAGAATATAGAGTGGGCGTCCCCGAGAAACTACCCTCACCACCCGCGCCCACAATTACATCCGCGTC